AATATATTATTGCTTTTTATGTCAGTATAACACTTTCTCCTTTTAAGATTGCAGGTCAGCTGTTTTATTATTAAATAGTGCAGCACAGATGGCAGATACCAGACATAAAGTAGTGCAAATGCAAAATGATGCTGATGTTTGCACCTGTGAGAAACCCATCATTTATCAGGTCCAATATTACTCACAGACTTATTTGCTTATTCTAACGTGTTTGGCGTTTAGGAGTTGACTTTGTGGCACTGGATGGATGAATTTAAAGTTCAGGTTGCTTTGTGTGGATGAAAATAGCTGTAGGCTATCATGGCATAATGTAGCAGCCTTCACAGATGTGGCGCTTTCTGGGTATTCTTGGTACTGCTGTGCCGAGGTGTGCTGCTGTGGCAGTTCTGGTGCCAGGCTGCTCTTCCCATGGCAAGTTGGGGTATCTTGGCAGAGGCAGGGTGTGGGGGGCAGGTGGGACCCCTGTCAGCCAGCTCTGCTGCTGGGCATCCTCCCACCACTGTTCTCTGCTTTCAGGGAGGCTGCCACCTGTGATCGCCACTCTTCTGAGAGGATGGTAAAATGCAGCAGTTTTTTCACAGTTCTAGCAAATTTAAGCAATGGCTGGTGCTATTTTTTTGAGGTTGTTGATGCTCTTAAATGAACTTACTGCAGCAAACCCATCAAGAGTTAACAAAAATGGTTACAGGAAAATCTCATTCATCCCTAGGGTTAGGAATCTACCTAGTATCATGCTTACTGATTTTTTTTTTTGGTGTGGACGAGTCCAGAAAAATTGGGTCATATGTTGGTTTGAGTTTAGAAGCTGACTCTTCCGTGATCAGATTTACCCTGTGACTATTTGAGACTTGTGGGTGAAATGTTCACATCTTAGGTGTCTGTCATCACTCAGTCCTTCAGCCTGCCATTTCTGAGCATCAGTACTTCTGTATCCTGGCAGAATAAAGTGCATCCTTCATGTGATACAAGGTTTTGTTTGCTAAGTTGTCTTCTTCGCCTATAGGACATGCAAATCTTAGGCATAATTTGTCTCCTGACAACATACAAAAGGGAAAAACAGTTGAAACAATCTGCCTACTTTAGTTATACAAGGTTGTAATAGAAGAAGAAATACAGGGCTATTTCACAAGTAGGTTTGTGGCTGTTAATCACTGGAAAATTGATTTAAAACTAAGTGCGTCAGTTTGAAGAGTAGAGTTGTTTTGTACATGAGCAACAAAAGCTGTAGGTGTCAGAACCTCATTCAACAATTTCCTTGATTTGATAAAAGATTATTAGTTGCTTGCTTTAAAAAGTTGGCTTTGTATACATACTTCTAGAATAGATTGTTTATTGCTCTGACCTCAGTGATTTGGTACAATTTGTTTTTTGAAGGTTGTTACAGGTGTATTTCTGAGCATTTCTTTCCTAAAATATTGCTATCAGTGGGTAAGGCTGAAAAGATCTTACCAACTGGAAGAGGCTTTAGTCACCCTAGGAGTTAGGCCGCTTTAGGTTTTTTTTTTTAAGATTACCATGACCTTTGACTGTTGTAGGCAAAAAGAAATTCAAGAGTGACTTGCAGCCACCATTGCAAGTACACTGTTGGAGAGTTGTTATCATTTGTATATCATGTGGCTAGTAGTCCAGTCAGATAAAATAATCATTGCAGAATGCCAGGAGGAATGTTTTAATACTACTAATAGCATTCATCTGGAATCTTCATTGTGTTGTATCAGGTTTGAGTAGACTATAATAGTGACTCAGATTGTGAATGCAAATAAAGGTCCTGGTACCATAGATTACAGTTTAGGCTAATTTAGTTGTTCTGTTGTTGACCTAACTTAC